CCCCATGAAAATAACATTAAGAGTCTGGATGAGGAAGATTACTACAAATACTTGGGTATCCTTCAAGCTGACAACATCAAGCACACTGAAGTCAAGAAAAAGATTAGAGGTGAAGAAGAAGAAGATCTTAAAGTCCAAACTCAATGGAGGAAATACCATAAAGGCAATCAACACCTGGGCAATTCCAGTCATTAGGTACACAGCTGGAATAGTGGACTGGACTCAAGCAGAACTAAAAGCAATGGATAGGAAGACAAGAAAAATAATGACAATGAATCACGCCCTTCATCCACGCAGTGACATTGAACAGACTTTATCTACCAAGGCAAATAGGTGGGTGTGGAATGCTACAAGTACATCAGATGGTTGAAGAAGAAAAAATGGCTTTGGAAGAATATCTGAAGAACAATGATGAAGATGCACTGAAATTAGTATATCAGGAAGGCTTACTGACTACTGGAGAGACCAAACTGGCCTACAAGAAAGACCAAATGAAGAACAGAATAGAGGCATGGGAAGACAAAGCACTACATGGCCAATACATTAAAAAAATAGCTGGGAAAGCAGATAATAACAAGACCTGGCAATGGCTAAGAGCAGGAAAATTGAAGAAAGAGACCGAGGGACTAATTCTGGCTGCACAAGACCAAGCCTTAAGGACAAATGCATATAAAGTCAAAATTGAGAAGACAGCAACAGACAGTAAGTGCCGCCTATGCAAAGAAGCTGAAGAAACAGTGGACCACCTGGTAAGCTGTTGCAAGAAGATTGCACAGACTGACTACAAGCAGCGGCATGACAAAGTAGCAACAATGGTGCATTGGAAGATCTGCAAAAAATATCATTTGCCTGTAAGCAAAAACTGGTGGGATCATAAAATAGAGAAAGTCATAGAAAATGATAAAATTAAACTGCTCTGGGACTTCAGAATTCAAACAGACAAGCACCTGCAACATAACACCCCAGACTTAACAATTGTCGATAAGAAAGACAAAAAAGTCTGGATAGTGGACGTGGCAGTGCCTGGAGATAGCAGAATAGAAGAGAAAGAACTGGAGAAGATAACAAAATACAAAGACCTACAAATAGAAATAGAAAGACTGTGGCAAAAGCAAGCAAGGGTAGTACCAATAGTATAGGCTCCTTGGGTGCAATCCCAAAACAACTGGAGCACCACTTGAACACCATTGGCATTGACAAATTCGCTATTAGTCAATTGCAAAAGGCGGCCTTATTAGGAACTGCTTCCATCCTGCGACGATATCTGTAATACCATCAAACATCCACATCTGCCTATCCCAGGTCCTGGGTAAGGACTCGATAGGTAGACAAAATGCCAAATCCAGTCTGAACATCTGGCTGACTGTGCGATGATCCATAATAATAATAATAATAATAATAATAATAATAATAATAATAATAATAAAGTTGGAAGGGACCTTGGAGGTCATCGATTCCAACCCCCTGCTCATGCAGCAAACCCTACACCATTTCGGACAAATGGCTGTCCAGTCTTTTCTTCCAGTGTTGGAGCATTCACCACTTCTGGAGGCAGGTTGTTCCATTGGTTAATTGTTCTAACTGTCAGGAAGTTTCTCCTTAGTTCTAGGTTGCTTCTCTCCTTGATTAGTTTCCATGATCTGTTGCTTGTTGTCCTCAGGCGCTTTGGAGAATAGCTTGACTCCCTCTTCTTTGGGGCAGCCCCTGAGATATTGGAACACTGCTATCATGTCCCCCCTCCCAGACTGGCTGGGATAAACCCTAGAATAGAATAGAGCTGGAAGGGACCTTGGAGGTCTTCTAGTCCAGCCCCCTGCTCAAGCAGGAGAACCTATACGTTTGTTTGTTTGTTTGTTTGTTTGTTTGTTTACATGTACATGCCGCCCATCTCACTCTCTCTAGTAACTGTTACAATAGTATAAAAAAATGTTACAAGCCCTAAAATTAACAACAGTTAAATAATTTAGGTGAGCACTGCCAGAAATGGCTCCACTGTCCAGGCTCAAAGCTTGCCTGTTTCTGTCCCAAATGGAGGAAAGGGATGCAAATTGCATTTTTTGTGTAAATGGACTGGGGAAAAAAAGAAAGGAGAGGAATGGGTCATGGATATCTTTCACTCATTTGTCTCTCCCCCCCCCCACATGCAAAATGGCAGGAATAACAGTCATCTGCTACGTCTTGGTAGGTTTAGCTACCGTACTTGTTCTCCCCATTTTTGATCCAACGTTGTTTGGAAAAATTGATAGTGGATTTAGTAGCTGCCGTTCCACATTTGCAAAGCCTGAGGTCACTCTGCCAATGTGGTGCCTCAGAGATGACCTGCCAATAGAAGTTTAAAAATTCAGACCTACGGCAAGGTTTTATGGGTGGTAGAAAATAAATCAGGGGGTCTCCAAACTGGGCAACCTTAAGGCTTGTGGACTTCAACTCCCAGAATTCCTCAGCCAGCATAGCTGGGAGTTGAAGTCCACAAGCCTTAAAGTTGCCCAGTTTGGAGACCCCTGGTCTTTATAATGAAGAGCAAAGGAAAGAGCAATTGTGATAAGTTTCTTTGCTGAATCCAAAGATTATTTGTGTTGCCTGGCTGGTTAGTGATGCTTTTGGATCCTGTTTGTTGGTTGATAAAAAGGTGATGTTGGGCCAGCTGGAGAGAAAGCAAATATACTGAGTTGTGTTCTGGCCTGGCCCGGCCCGTGCTTTGACTAAGAACATTTGAAAACAACACACGATAATACTATATTGGCTTCTTTTCCAGATTCTTTTTAAAGAACAAGTTTGGGAGGAAAGAATTTTGTTTTTAACCAAAGTGTTTGTCTAGTTTGATAGCTCTGCAGGCAAGACGGTAGTTTTGAAGGGAAGCTATTAAATAAATTAGATTTGTTTTACGAATGGAGGCGAATAAGCATGTCCCAGAATAATGCTGCAGGATCCAATCTGTTGTGTGTAGCTTTTTAGATTGGGGTGTCGATGGCTGGCTATTAAGTTAATGACTGAATCTACATTTAGAAAGCTACAAACAGCCACCACATAAATACACACACAAAACAGCCCAGAGCACACAGAGAAGTTCCTTGTGGATGGGTTCCGGCATGAATCCAAAACCTCTGGTCCAGGTGACCGACCCAGATTGGATTAAATGTATTTTAATTATGATCCCTGCTCCTCTAACCTCATTTCGATCCCACGGTTCAGCTAGAAGGCTTCCCTAGTCTATCCATCTATTTTGCTCTCCGACGGGTTCATGCTCCCTAATTCTTGAACCATTTTTTTTTTAATGTAAAAATCTTCATTCAGCAAGCAAATTCATTTTATGGAGGGAAGGGGCTGGGTGACATCTATAAGCTATTCTCAGCATTTTTCTTGTTATGTCTTCTGTGTGCTTACAAACAGCTCTGGAATGTTGTATTTCAACAAACTATTTTAAACAGTCCCTGCAAATCTCCAAAGACTGTGCTGAAGACTATAGGGACCCTGCCACACAATCAATTCTTTAGGCGCATGCCCATTCAAAGGGGAAACTGTTGCTATGAAACATAGATCTTCCTTGTGAGTAATACACTTGATGGGTTATGTGCAATCAAGTTGGTGAGCACCTAGATAAATGTTCTTCAGGTGATTCATCCCGATCCTTGCACTCAGTTCAGGCTGGGCTTAAAGTTGCCAAAGTTGGACATCCCTGGTTTATAGAATATACCTTTCCTCTCCATAGACAAGAGAGTGTGCAACTAAAGGTCACAATTACACTGCTTCTTTTGCTGGCCTATACACAAAAGAGAGTCTGTGTCAACACTGCTAACATCGGATGTTCTTGCTTTGACAACAGATGGAAATGCAGCCATTTTTCACTACTGCTTTTAGAGTTAGTTGATGCTGGGAGGGGGAATGTGGATGAGAGTCCAGCTAGTCATAACATTAATAACTCAGCCGTGGGAACCCAAGGTCATTAGGCCCAGAGTTTTGATGGGCTGGAGATCTGGGGAGAAAGCCCGTGCTTCAAGCTAATTGGGGAATGTGATTTATGATTGTTTATTGGAGGAGGGAATTGTGCTTTGTTAACTTTGTATCAAGGGGAGGGGAATTTAGTTTTTGGTTTCGACTATGTAATGCCAATACTTTGTTTCTCGAATAAAAGATTCTTTAAGGTAAACAATGCCTTGAAGTTCTTTTGAAGAGTTTCATCTGTCGGAACCATGACAGTCTGTTCATGTTCTTTTTTATTAAAAAAAATCATAAAAGGAAATTGGATTTCCGTTTTCTAGTTTAATAATCTTCCTGGCCTTTTGGAATTTAAATAAAAGTTGGGCTGATACAATCAACACCTACTCACAGAGATACAGTCAATGGAAAAAGTATGAAGCTGGGTTATTTTCTGAGTGGTGGCCATTAGCCATTGTTTACGCAGATGTCTAAGAGTATTTGCTTAGTTCAGAGCTTAGACCAAATTTTAAAATACTTGGGAAGGGGGTAGATTTAGGTGAGAGATTTTTGTTAAGAACTTGTGCAGTTGTAAGTGACAGATTAGAAGGAAAAATTATATTTTATATATATTTTCTGCTGATTTACACAAATTCTACTAACTTGATTGCTAGTCTGGCTTTTGGAAATCTAAGGCAGTGTTTCTCAGCCTTAGAACTTTAAGGTGAGAGGACTTCAACTCCCAGAATTCCCCAGCCAGCAGTCTATCTTGTTAAAAATCCTAATGTGGGCAGGTATAATATACCAGCTTTAAGAACAGAACAGCATAAAACATTAACAAAAGTAAGCGGAATAAGCAGTGCCTCCTGAGGTGGGAAGAATGCATCTTTTTTCCTTCCAAGATGAATGTTATATCAAATAAACATACTGTGATTTCTTTGACAATTTCTGGACAATCTTGTTTAATTCAGTAGTTTTACTGATGATTGAGTAAAGAGAAATTTTGTGCACAGATCTGTGGCATGATTTTGCAAGGATACCCACTGATGATGCGTTCTCTCTCTCTCTCTCTTTCTTGCCTACAGGTGCTTCAAGGTGCCCAGCTGATTGCAGTTGCTTCTTCTGATCCTGCAGCTGCTGGTGTCGATGGATCCCCACTTCAGGGGAGCGATATCCAGGTCCAGTACGTCCAGCTGGCCCCAGTGACAGATCACTCCGCTGCTAATCCAGTGCGTAGACCATTCCTTTTCATGAAAGGGGACTGTGCAGAGGGATTTCACAGCTTCCCTGACACAAGATCTAGCACTCTCTGTTATTCTTCTAAATGTATCAACTCCTGTTGTTAAAAGCTTTACAGCCTTCCTTAAGCGGTTTACAGAGTCAGCACATTGTCCCCAATAATCTGGGTCCTCATTTTTACCGACCTCAGAAGGATAGAAGGCTGAGTCGGCCTCGAGCCCGTCAGGATCGAACTCCTGGCCGTGGGCAGAGTTAGCCCGCAATACAGCACTCTAACCACTGCATCATCACAGCCCAATGCAACTATACCTGCTCTCAAATGTTTCCATGAAGCTAGCCCTCCCCAACATGGTGCTCTCCATCATTCCCAGGTTTGGAATTTTGGAATCTGTAATTGAAGCTGACTCAACAGAGCTGAGAAAGGCTGTTGGAAGTCAGACTGAAATACCAAACTGTAGATGGTGCTCCCCAAAAATGGAATTGTGCGACATTCCGGCAGGGCATGTGAAGGAAGCTCATAATTACGTCGCGTTCTTATTTTGTTTCCTCCTCTTCTTCCTTTCTTCACAACCATCATCAATCCATCTGGGGTTTTCTAATCCTGGCATGTATGTTCTCACAGCATTGTCAGTATTAAGACCTCCCTGCAGAACTGAGAAATTAGTCCCAACCTTTATACGTTCTGTTTTCCAAGCTCTCCTGCCTGCAACACTAACAAGGTGCAACTTCCTAGGTGGTCTTGCTCTACCTTAGGGATTGGGGGATGTTTTAGGAGCAGGAGCTCGGTGGGCCCAAGTGTTCTGGCAGTGGTGGTCCTTTCCTCCCTCTTGTCCACACATGGAGACCCACACTTCCCTCCCCCTTCCCTGTCCCCCATAAATATACATTTCCCCCTTTAACCCTCCCTTACTTTTCTCCATCCCATGATCTGTGAAGGTTGCTCTGTATGGAATGAGGGTGTGAATCTATCACGTTTTTAATCTCCCTTCCCCTTCCGAGTTCCCTTCACCTCGAATGGCTGGCTAGGAACTCTGCAAGGGTAGGAGACGGAGAAGCCTGAATGCTGCCATCTTGTTTGTTCTTGGACTTAGTGAGTCTGCCCTCCTGGTTAAAGCCCTCTGGGTCTCCCCACCCATTTCCTCCCATTGAATTCTATCGGGAGGCAAATTGCCTATCATCTCATCTTTCCTCTTCTCCTTTACATTGAACTGGAGCTGCTGTTTCAAGCCCGGCGATAAATCTTTACATCTGTTGGCAGCAAGGATGGAATTGCTCTCTTTCAGACACTTTGCACCCTGTTAGTTTTTAATATTGTGGTTAACCACAGAGATTTATACCATGCTGCAGATAAACCTAAAGGAATGCTGGCCCTTAAAGGAGGATGAGAGTATGTAAAACTGCTGATTAGGCTAGAGAGAAGCACGCTGAAGCTGACCGGGCGTATTTCTGAGCAGGCAAGGCAAGATGCGTGACAAGGAACCCAGAATTATAAAACAGAAGCCTGTCTAAGGATGGTGCGAGGGTGAAGCGCATGGGAGAAACATCACAGCATCTTTTGTTTTTTCCTATGCTTCATGACCAGGTGGTAAACAGCTGGAAGCATCGAATTATCCCTGGCCAGACCAGATCCAGTAAGGGCTGTAAGGGCTAGGGCTAGGCCTGTGAGTTAAACAAAACTTTCTGGGTAGCTCATAGCTCTGTACTGGTCAGAAAAGGCTGCATAGCTCAGAAGCTTGCATGCTTTCATTCTGCTGGATAATGTAGGGAGTCCTCAATTCAAACCATTTGTTTAGTGACTGTTCAAAGTTATGACAGCACTGAAATAAGTGACTTACCAACTGGTCCTCATGCTTACAACAATCGCAGCATCTTCACGGTTGTGTGATCAAAATGTAGCTGCTTGGCAACCAGCCAGTATTCACGACGGTTGCAGCATCTCGGGTATCTGCCACCCGCGACCTTCCCCGCTGGCTTCTGTCAATCAGGGGGAGCCAGATTCATTTAATGACTCCATGATTCACTTGACAACTGCAATGATTCACTTAAACATGTGACCAATAGTCGTAAAATTGGACCCAACTCACTTAAAAACTGCCTTGCTTAGCAGCGGAAATTCTGGTCTCAATTGTGATTGTAAGTACAGAGTAAAGTCTGTACTCTCACATCTCAATACCAAGAAGGAGGAATCAGCTCTAAGGACGTCCCACAGTGGTCCTGGTGATGGTGGTGTGATCCTCCAGGCCTTGGGGTTCAGCACATTGATGCCCAGCCTCCCGAGGAGCAGAGGCTGGGCCCAGATTAGGTCCTTAGATGGCTAGCAACTACCCCGCTTGGGAGGCAGTGCCAGCCCAGAGTGCTTCGGGCACAAAGGGTGCCAGGGTGCACCTCAGCTGAAGTTTATTTTTGTGCACTGATTGCATTCTTCCCCTCCAGACCCTCTAATGCTCCCTGAGATGTTAAATTACAGTAATAACACTGGCGTGCCACCCAAGATTTGTTTTTCCTTCCTTCTGCTGAAATTGGTGCGAGCGGAAATGTTTTCCTCTTAAAGCCGGCCCTTCGGAAAGCCTTCCACATCTGGTTAAACGTGGGATGATTAACCCAGCCCTTGAGAAGGAGCTATTTATTTTAGCGATTCCCCCTCCTCCCCCCAGGTGTTGGGTTATATTTTAGTTGCACAAAAACGGTGGTTGTAAATGTTCTGATTAGTCAGTTGTGTATTGGAGGGAGAAAAAAGAGCAACGGAGACGACTTGTAAATCTGTAATAACACGTTATTAGGGGCAGGAGAGTCAAGAGTATTAGACAGTAATTCATTTCAAAGCGTTTGCCTTTAATTGGGGAAGGAAGACTCACCTTCTGAATTCACAGCCGGCTCTTCTTTATAAATCAGCACCGATTCCTCAGGCAATAAAACCGGAGGAAGGAAAGCTATTAGAGCAGCCTTTACCCTTTGTTCTCTCCAGCCCCTTTCTAGGAATAAAGAAGGGAGAGGTTGAGGAGGCCACTTGAGCCAAGGACATAAAACCAAAGTGCCAGCGTGAATTCTTCAGACCGGAAGCCTTTGTGGCTTTGCTGGGCAGGAGGAGGATGTGGGGCTTCCAAGGCACTGAAGCCGAGAAGGGAGCCTCTTAGGGCAGGGGTCCCCAACCCCGGTCCGTGGATCAGTACCGGGCCTTGGCATACAAGCATCCGGTCCGCACAAACAAGCAAAGCCCCGTCCACGAGATGCAGGCAACACACAAAACCACACACCCTTCGGTCCACGGAAAAACCTCTCTCCACAGAACCGGTCCCTGTGCCCAAAAGGTTGGGGACCTCTGTCTTAGGGAACGGAGTGCCTGGGAGAGAAAAGCTGTCATGGGACAGTTTCTTTGCGGGATGAGGGCATCTCCTGAACCTCACAACAGCCACAGTCGGAAGGGCGGTATCATCGTGAATTTCCGAGCCTGAAAAATGGTGTCTTATTTACAGGTAGTCCTCAAATTAATGACCACGATTGGACCCCAAATTTCCGTAGCTCAGGGAGACATTTGTTAAGTGAATTTTGCCCCTTTTTATGATCTCTTAGGCCACCGTGGTTAATGGAATCGCTGCGGTTGTTAAATTAGTAACATAGTTGTTAAAGGAATTTGGCTTTCCCCATCGACTTTGCTGGTCTGAAGGTGATCACGTAATCCTGGGACGCTACAACCGTCATAAGTGTGAGTCAGATGCCAAGCGGCTAAATTTTGATCAGGTGGCCACGGAGATGCTGCAATGATTGTAAGTGTGGAAAACGGTCATAAGTCCCTTGTTTTAGTGTCATTGTAACTTTGAACGGTCACTAAATGAACTGTTGTAAGTTGAGGATTACTTGTAATTAACTTCACCAAGACATCTTCCTGGCATTTATCCCCCAGACTGAAAGTATAGGCCATTTCACCTCTTTGCCTAGAGAACCGTACACAAGCATGAGATGAAGTAGCCTTATTATTCCCCTTCCCCGTGGTTAGAATGTACCCATTTATTAACCTTCTACACAGAGCAGCCAATAAGGAAAAGCAGAAGCAAACTGGTAGCTATAACTTTGCCAACTTGCCTTAGATGATACAACAAGCAGGTGATTATATTTCAAAGTGATGTTAATAAAATGTGATATTGCCCCTTTCTTTCTTTGCCCTCCTAGTAGAAGATGATGCTTGATAGGATTTAGGGAGGGTGTCTGCTAATCTCGACTGTAGGGCCGTTAACTAGGACTTAGTGAGCTCCTCTAGGAAAGTGTACGAGAGAAGAAGGCATCTGCTTGTTTAGGATCCAGTGCTTGTCCTGTCCATCATCACATCTTCACTCTCCAAGCTGTTCCGCAAGCGTGGCTGGCTGAGGAATTCTGGGAATTGAAGTCCTGAAGTCTTAAAGTTGCCAAGTTTGGAGACCTCTGATCTAAAGCAAAGTTCTGGAGGAACAGAGCAGATCCAAACACAGTTTTACAAAGAGTAGCCAATCACTCTTACCAATTGCTGCACTCCTCTCTTCGTTCTCTCTCTTGGCAGTAACTCAGAGGGAGATGTGTTCTTCAGCAGAGACACAACATAGATTGTAAATAAAGGAAGCTGCTTCAGACTTCTATCTCTGTTAGTACATTTTTTGGTGTCTGGCTAGCCACAGTTGGGTGATAGAGAGCTGGACCGTGGAGATTTTGGTTCGGACCTAGCATGGAAATACTTTCTTTAATGGGCATTGAACCTTATTTAGGGTGCTGTTGCTTATTCGGGGTGTCAGCCAAAAGCCATCACCCCTGAAGGGACAGCCAAGCCATCTGATGGTAAACTCTAGTGTGTTTGTTTGTTTGTCTCTCTTGCTCTTGTGCAGAACACAGACTCCCTTCACTCAGCCATCCCGCCAGAAATGCAAATAGACCACGGAGCCATTCAGATTCAGTAGGACAAGGCGACACGTCCGCCACTATGTCAGCTCATGGATGACAGCTAAGGATTCCGGTCGGTCGCAGAGCAAGCTCGTTGCTTCTGCTCAGCTGCAGGATGTTTCCTGGACACTTCCTGGACATAGGAGTGTGATCTGTCTCCTCTGACCTGGTTTGTATGGAACCACACGCTGATTGTTTGGACCAAAACGTGGCGCCGTGGAATTGCCATCCTTCCACTCCGTTGCAAGGCTCCTAGGATACGTGGTTTAACTGGGGGTGGGGGGGGGGAAAAGGCGAGATCTAGCTAACTTTCATTAACCCAACTATTTTGAGTGATGTGATGAATCACCACTTCTCCTCTGTGACTCATCCCTGCAACTATCCCTAGACATCTTCTCGGAGACAGGGTTTTCTTGCCATGCATACCTTGTTACTCAGAGAGAATCAAGAGTGCAAATATATTTTGCTGTTGAAAGAAGTTTTTTTTTTTTAATTTGCTATGTTTATAATAACAAAGAGAGAGAGATGTATTTAAAAAAAAGAAAGTGGGATGGAGGCAGGCCCATAATCATAAATGTTAGCTTCTTTTGCTGCTGGTTTTCTTGTTTCAGTGTAATCATAAAAAAAAGGAGAGAGAAAAAAAACATACAAAGAGAAACTTTGCCTCTTTTGGGGGGTGGGTGTTCTTGCAACTACTTTTTTTAAAGGGGAAAAACTACTATCCTCCACTGTAATTATGCATTTCTAACAAAATAAATGTGTATTTATGAAGATCATTTTGAAAATTCCTCATTGAGGTGTTACACACGGTCCCAGGTGCAGCTTATGGTTATTGGTTCAGGTGACCTCCTTGTCTGCGTTTCCTTTCCAGTTTGGTTTCTTCTTAAGTACCACCCTGAAGGGCTCTTTTAGACAAAATTCCTGACTTTGTCCACCCTACCTATGTACCTGCTTTATCTTTAGGTACGGCAGCCTCAGCCTGGTCTCACAGAGGTATAACTTACATGACTTATTTTTCTGGCTCACATTAGATCATTTCTGTGCTTCTTCAACAAGGATTTGAGTGTCTTTCTCTCTCTTTGCATGTGTTCCTTTCTAAAGAACCAGTGATGTGGGGGAAAATAGACTGAGGAAAGAAACTGTTCTAAGGGTTATCCTGGTTTATTTGTCCTTCCAGATTTATAGGGTCATGAAAAGGAAGTTTTTAGATAGGGTAATCCTCATTTAGGGCATTACGCTCCCAACACTCTTTTTTTCAGAAGACAAGAAAATGGCCAGAGATATCCTAATGCAAAGTCAGAAAATACAGAAAATACAGAAAAACTTGGATCCCCAACTTGGGCTCCAAATCAATTCTTGTTTCTATAGTTCCCAAGGCAATTTGTTAAATAGGAGCTTTGGGTTTGTTTTTTCTCTAAACAAGAAGTAGGCATGCATGCAAAGGCGAAAATGAAGCTCTGGAAAGGGAGAGTGTTTGTAATGGACAGGAATGAGCAAGTAGGCTTGGTTGGGGCAACCCAACTCTCTTAGCAAGGCTATTTTGGTAGTTTCGTTAACTGGCAGCAACTGTTACACACGAGGCAACGGTGGCGTAACGGTGGCAACTTGCAAAGAAAACATCCCTGCTGGGCGAAGCCCCCTTAGGCACCAGAAAGCCAGAATTAGCCCCCTTGTAGAAACATCTCGTAGAGACATCTCAGGAATTTTTAGTGTTGTCTTCTGCAGTTTGGCTAGAAGATAGTTTTTCTTCTTTTTGTGCAAACGCTTAGTTTTTAACTGCAGATAAATGCGGGAAATTGCAATCAAGCAGAAAATTTATTTGACCAAAGGAAAATAAGTCCTGGGCTTGGCAGTCCTGTGGGGATTCATTTTTTCCCCCTACTGTGCTCAGTCATAAATTATCACTCTGTTTTCAATGGAGAAACCAGACAGCAAATCTGAAAGATTGATAGAAACTCTAATCTAGGGGGAGAAGATAAAAGAGCCTCTATCTGCCAGGTTTCCAGTTTCCTGTTTGATCTTAGAGTCGCTGAGTGACTCAAAACCCTCTTCTTTCAAATGTAGTGCTCAACTTACAACCACAACGGAGCCCCAAAAATTCTGTTGCTAAGCGAGAGATTTGTTAAGTGAGTTTTGCCCCATTTTACAACCTTTCTTACCAAAGTTGTTAAGTGAATCATTGCAGTTAAGTTAGTCACACGGTTGTTAAGTGAATCCGGCTTCCCCATTGACTTTGCCTGTCAGAAGGTCGCAAAAGGAGATCATGTGACCCCAAGACACGGCGACCGTCGTGAATGTGAGTCAGTTGCCAACGGTATGAATTTCGATCACGTCACCAGGAGGCTGCTGCAAACGGTCGTAAGTGTGGAAAATGTCATGTCACTGTTTTTCAGCGATGTTGCAACTTTGAACGGTCACTAAATGAACTGTTGACTACCTGAAGTGGTTGTGGGAAAAACAGTGGTGCACCTGGCCACCGAGAACACCAGGCTTAACTTATATCAAGGCACAATACAGGTTTCCTAAAACATCACCTGGAGAAAACTTTTAAAAAGCTATCCCAGAATCTTGAAAACGGTTAAAAATGGGATGACCATCTTTAAATTCCCTGCAAGATTCAGAAAGTTGCAGCAGAATATGGTCATCTGGCACGCCTTCTCTCTTTCCACAGCACTTTCCCCTTAATCTGTGATTAATCATTCCATTTTTTGGAAAGGGAAGGAAATAAATTTGTTTCGAAATTAAACTTTTCTCTCTTTCCTGAAACGGATCCAGAACAGACCAGGCTAAGATGGACTTTAGTGGGTTTGTGATCCAGCTGTGGGAAATCTGCTACTGTCCCACCCATATTGTGTAAACCAAGTAACCAAGTTACTAGTAGGGTTGGCTGGGGAATTCTGGGAGTTGAAGTCCACAAGTCTTAAAGTTGCCAAGTTTGGAGACCCCTGAATTACAGTAACACATCTGTGAGGAAAGATATATATGTTTTCCCCACCTTGGTGGGGTTTGCTGGATTGGAGAGTTTACTCAACTCCCATTTTTTTCTTCTCTGGGAAGCCTTTCAGACCTGTTCCTACAACCCAGTTTCTTGAGTTCCCTTATACCGGCTTGCAGTTTTACAAAGGCTGTAGCAAAACATCCTGCAAAATAAACAAGAATGCAGAAGTCACAGTCCCCAAAGATGGGAGGTGGTTTTGTTCCTTTGATTCTTGCAAAAAAAAAAAAGGGGGGGGGGAATTGCTGTGGCTTCAAGGCAGTTCTTGAGATGCTTGGCTATGTTTACAGGCTTGACTCAAAGCTGAATTTGTATAAAATGCTAACCTTGGGTTTTGGTGACTTATAATGTAACTTGAGAACAAAGCTGATTTGGCCCTGTTACGGTCCAATTTAATATATGAATGCAGAAGACGGGTTAATTCAGTAACCCAATTAAACGTGTTGTGTTAATCCAACTGAGGAGAAACCAATAGTTTATCTTGGAGAGCGGAATTCACAAAGCAGAAATGTCTTGGTCCTTTCTCACCAAGCGGTTCCTCCTCCTCCTCCTCCTCCTCCTCCTCCTCCGAAATCGACAGAGGCTGTTTCCTGTTTGTTTCCAGCCCAAAGAGGGTTAAACATGTGCAAAGAGGAAGGGAATCCCTATTCTGGAACTTGAGACCTTCCAGCTGAGAGTGGAGAGATGTGGGTGGACGTCACAACCCTCCTTGCCGCGCTCGGCTCCCATGTCAAAGGAAGTCTGCCGAAGGAGCACCGAGGGCTGCAGCACCACTGAGGATAGAGGTATGTGATGCCATCACTTCCGACTCCGGTGAGTAGGAAACGTGTCAGTCTCTGAAGTAGCTTTGCAAAAGAAAACCTGCGGCTCTCTTTCGCAGCTTGCGGGCCTCTCCAGCAATGGAGAAGCAGCTTTCCAAGTGGAGACTGTGGCATCAGTGGCTCCAGAACAAAATTTTGGTACCCTTGCCCTCTGTACAAACACTCTTACCATCCGGTACCCCGGTCCCTTGACACCTGCCGAGAATTTAAAGAGAAAGAAAGTGGAATGCAAAGGCCCCTAATCTGTGAGTATCCAGGCCATCTCTCCACAAAGGTTTGGGCTGTATTTGGGTTTGGAGGTTTGCAGCTGCAGCTGTAGCTCTGTGGGGTGAAGTCTTCTGCTTAAGATCCGGCATCTCCTTAGAAGGGGAAATGATGGCAAGGCATTTCTTTCAGGCTTGGGGCGGGGGGACGCGATGGAGATGGGCAGGCATGTGCTGTCAAGAGACACGCCAGAGAGGGAGGGAAATCTTGCTCTCGTCATCCTGTAGAAGAAAAGGGGCTGAAGCAGCTCCCCTCAATGCACACACCTGCAGACACGCGCACCAAGGTTGAGTTCTCCAGATGTCTCTTGAGTGCATTGATGCTTTCATTTCTGAACTGTACATTTCCAGAGGCCACTTTAGGAGCTATCTGTGGTTCAGTTTTGGCATCACGTAAAGCCAATTCATTCTGCAAGCTGTCCTGTTTTGTCTCATTTGATGGAGTTTAATCGCAGGGCGCTTCCCCCCCCCCCCAAACCATTTGCTCTCTTCCACTTTCAGCTAGAGCAAAGGATTATTTGGACAGTCCTTAAAACTGCAAAGGGAGACCAGAAAGTGGGCAGGTAAAACCTACTGAAGTGTCAGGAACCAGGGAGACTAAGCAGGAAGGGGGGGGGGGTATCGTTTTAAGCCCCTCCTTCGGATTGGAGGAAACAACAGTCCTTCACAGAAAATGAATAGGCTTGTGCTAATGTGTCTAGAATGCTGCAGGGTTTTTTTTTTTTTTTTGACCATTTTGGTCATTTAAGGGTCAAGATCTTACAGGACCTCGTATTGGGAATGTGTGAAAGAGAAGGGGCAGACAATCTCTGTGCTGGTTCCTGAAATTCTCCTGCATTTGGGCTTTTAAAGGATGTTTGTTTTCCTGGTATGGAGCCAAGGTGTGTGATTAGATGCTGCTTTTGCTTGATAAGGCAAAAACAAACAAACGTTTTGATCGCTTTTCATCCCGTCCACAATATTTTTCCAGAGGGAAACACAGGTTTTCATGGGAGGATTCTCCCCGCCTGCCCCTCACCCTCCCTGCTTTTAAAGCCCCTCCCCCCCCAAAAAATTTCAGTTGGCGCTTGCGCCTCTCCTGATAGCTGATTGTACCAAGTTCTGCCCATTTCCCATAATTGCTCTTATTCCAAGATTCAGCATCTCTCTCCCTCTCTCTCTCTCTCTCTCCCTCTCTCTCTCTCTCACACTCACTCTCTCACTCACTCACTCTCCCCCCCCCCTCTGGTGCCTGGTTTTGATTTCCCTTCTCTATGCCCCATGTTGCTTGCGTTAAGCGCCTGTTTTCCATTACGAAGCTTTGGTAGACAGACCAAAAGGACAGTCACATTTTCCAAGCCTAAGTCTCTCCTTCCCACCCCTCCATTGAGACCTTTCACTTCGGCAGGATGTTTCGGGGTAGGGTGGGGGGTGGGGGAGAAGGCAGCACTGGAGCAGGTAAATTGATGGTTGGGGTGGCTTCCTTCAGTGTGGTCTCTCTTGGGGGGCGGGCAGGCAAGAAAAGATTCAAGAGGGGCGTCTGTTTCCGTCATGGGGATGTGAGATGTTTCCAAATGATTTTAGAAGCTCTTACTTTTATTTACAATGCGATGTTTGTGTTACTCTCCATCCAGATGGAAATGAAACGGAGCTCAGAAATGCAGCAAATGTCTTCCCAAAACTTAAAAGCTTTGCCATCTGCAGCGATGATACAAATT